TATCACTACATGGCATTGGACAGAAGGGCGAGAGCCCAGCTGTTGCTGGATCGATAACAACAACAACAACAACAACAACAAAACAGCACACCAACACAGTAGTTGTTTGTCACTTTAGTTTGTTTTTGTAAGATGATTTAGTTCACTTGTAAAACAATTAGGTCATAATTCTGAGCGCCGAAGATAAGAGGTGCTACCAGAACGTAACATAGCCTACTAACGAAAGGATGAGAGATGAGGACGATAGATGTTTTATTATTATTTTGATAATAAAAGAGGAGCAAACCAAACCAGAGCACCCACCAACCACTCTCATTGTCATTTGGTTTTGTCGTTTACGATAGCCATATTATCTTTCATTGAGGGAGCAAAGCTACCATTGTCGCACAAACCGAACCAAACTGACGACGACCTTAAAGAAAAACACAGCTGACTAGAATCTACTGTAGCCAGAGCCGTGAGATAGACGGTCTGTCCAGTCATGTAAAAGATTGTTACAGACAAAATATAATAAGAAGAATATATGTGTCAAAAGAATATTATTATTATACTTGTAGATCTAATTCTAATGGTACCTTCTAGTTGCGCCCAACCGCAGGATGCTAGATTCACCACAATGGCTAGAGCCGTGAGATAGACGGTGTGTGAAAGACAGAAGCCAGACCCACCATAGCAGCTAGAGCCGTGAGATAGACTGTGTGTGCAGAACCTTAATAAGAAGCCAGACTCACCACAGCAGCCAAAGCCGTGGGATAGACGGTGTGTGCAGAACCTTAATAAGAAGCCAGACTCACCACAGCAGCCAGAGCCGTGGGATAGACGGTGTGTGCAGAACCTTAATAAGAAGCCAGACTCACCACAGCAGCCAGAGCCGTGAGGTACACGGTGTGACCAGCCATGTAGAAGATCGTTATAGCCATCATGTCGGGCGGACCATCTTCCACGGCGCGGATGTACAGCATCTCTCCCATTACAAAGGCATAACCTGAGACATCATCATCATCATCATCATCATCATTATCATCATCATCAGCAGCAGCAGCAGTAGCAGCAGCAGCAGCAGCATCAATAACAGCAGCAGCAGCGGATATGCAGTATTTCACCTTCTATCACAAATGCATAACCTGAGACAACATGTTTGTATGTAGATCTATCGCTATTTCAGCTCGGGGAAATCGTCATATTAACAGTTTGTCTGTCTGTTTGTATGTCTGTATGTCTGTTTGTCTGTCTGTCTGCATTCTTCATCCCCCTTCTCTCTGTCTCTGTTCTCAGTTCATCCTCTCTCTATTTACTCTCTCTCTCTCTATTTACTTTCTCTCCCCTTCCCTCTCTCTTTCTCCCCCCCCCCCTCTATCTCTCTCTCTCTCTCTCTCTCTCTCTCTCTCTCTCTCTCTCTCTCTCTCTCTTTCCCTCTCTCTTTACTTTTTTACTTTCTCTTCCCTCTCCCCCTCTCTCTCTCTGCCCCTCCCTATCCTCCCACCCCTCCCCTCTTGCCCTCCCACCTCTCCCCTCACTCCGTAGGTCACCACACAAAATCTCCTTCCACTTTCTTTTTCTTTGGTAAGTGTTTGACGGGGCTCGCAACTGCTAACGGTCATATGAGCGCGCGGGACACATTGAACTTTTTCAGCTGGTAGGAAATTTTTAAATTTTGCTCGGGTGGCGGCCGAAGCCTACTCTTATCGATTTTAGACCACCAAGGGATCGTTAACGTGTGCAACTTGCACACGGGACCTCCGAGATTAAAAATTTTCGCCCTTGTCCGAGAAGGTTAGGTGTAGATATTTCTTACCAGAAGATCAGGGGTGTGGCTGAAAGACAGCAGTAAGAAGGAGCCAATGAGTAACTGTGTAAAGGCTGCACAAAGAGTCTTGAGGAGCCCAGAGGAGGGGGCAAAAGAAGTGAGGGAGAAGGGGGGGGGGGCAGAAAGAGGAGACGCAAGCAGACGACAGGACATTGCTAGAGAGCAGGAAAGGAGGAGAAAGGAGAACATTTTAGAGAACATTTTTTTTCGTTCACTACCCAGATTCGAAACCGGGACCTTTGAATGAGAGGCCAACACCTTAACCTCTAGGCCACGAGAGCTCACCACCTACCTCCATAACGGAATGGAACGTAGCGGAACACATCCATAGCTCAGCACCCTCCAGCCGCCCCCCGATCTGCCCCCTCACTCAGAAACTGTGGCCCCAACGTTGAGGACGAGTGTGGAAGTTATAACTATTTCGGCCTGTTTTCTCCTTTAGATTTAAGAAGTGTTTTACGGCTCTTGCATCCTTCTTTGCTCTCGTACCGCTGTTCCTTAGCTAGGAGCATGGCTTTATAGGAGGTCGTGACTGAAAAATGAAATGAATGATTTATTGTTTCAAACTGCTGTTTGTTTTGGTTTAAAAAATAAACAACAACACCCCTCTCCTCAAAATAGCAACAACCCCCCCCCCCCCAAACAAACCCCAAAGCCAACAACAAAACAACAACAGCAACAACAACAACAACAACAACAACAACAACAACAACAACAACAACAACAACAACAACAACAACAACAACGAGCAAACAAAACAGAACAACAAATCCCCCAAAACAAACAGCAGGAATAAAGTCACAACACGCGAACAAAGGCCGCTCACTGGAGTGTGTGTGTGTGTGTGTGTGTGTGTGTGTGTGTGTGTGTGTGTGTGTGTGATAATAATAAAGCGTGTGGGATAATAAGGAAATGAAATTTAAAGTAGGCAAACGATTTAAACATATTATTTTTCGTATTCTATACGCGAAAGTTATTTAGGCTATTATTCCCATATCGCCCCCACCTCCTTTTCACAAGTAAAATAATAGACCAATACGTTGAATAATCTGCATTGACGTCTTACCCATTTACTAACCGCTCTTCTCTCACTGAAGAGGGTATAATAATGTTATTATTATCATAAGCTGACACTAAGTCTTTGTCTTGATTAGAAACGAAACAAGGAATGTTCTCACACATGCTTTCATTTTCTGTTCCCTCAACTTCCTACTTCCTACCACCCATTCACAGTCAGTGTTTTACAGTGCGTGTTGCTTGCTTTTATAGTTACAATTAGAAGACAAAAAGCTTATAAATATAACTATCAGTGATATGTAGACAGATAAATGGAAAAAATAATAAATTGGAGGGGGAGTATTTGGGGGGGGGGGGGGGC